AACTTTCAAAGCTGCTGCAGTTTCATGTAAACTGGATTCTTTGAAAGAGCTCAGAAAGTAAAGCCTGGAAACCTCAGAGCAGCAGTTCGATTCAGAGCCGCTGGAAGGAAATGATTCATGTATGAAAGATGAGAAGATTTTCATGTAGAGAAAAATCCACTCGGTGTTTGACAGCAAGCTCCGAAAAGTCAAGAAACAGGAATCTGTTTTTATACATCAGCTGCATGACTCTCTGTGTCATTGTCCCACAATCCTGAAACCTCTTCATTATAGTGAGCGACAGCCATATTTGTCAGAGACATATTTACAGCTTCTGTTTAAAAGGTGTTTCAGTCGTAATGTGAAGGATCAGAAAATAAAAGTATTTTGTGTTGTTTCTTATAATAAACTGAACTTAATGTGTGAATCATGAGGTGATGAGTGTTTTTATTGATGTTGGAGCGACGAGCGTCAGGTGCTGCTGATGGATCCGTTCATTTGTCTTCAGTCTTTTTCTTCCTGCATCCAAACAACGACAGTTTTTATAATTATTTCGTTTTAAGCAGTTTTAAAGTCCTCCAGTGACCAAAGTGAGTGATTAAACCACCGTACAGCATGAAGGTAGAAGCAGTTACAGCAACACTGTTCATTTCAAAATAAAACGATGACGATCACGTTTGGATTACTTCCTGTAGATAATTTAACACTGAAGAACATAATTCTGATATTTTTGGTGCAGATGAACATCTGTCCATCTTTAATTCCTGAGAAACCCCGCCTCTTTTTATACCCAGTTGTTCAGAGACAGCCCAGTAGGTAGGAGCAGTTGCCCCATGATCGGAGGGTCGGTGGTTCAACTCCACTGAAGGGCCCTGAGGTTGAGCAAGGCACCGTCCCTACACGCTGCTCCCCGGGCGTTGCATTGGTGGCTGCCCTGCTTCACTGGGTGAATGGGTCAAATGCAGAGGAGTCGTTTCCCTACAGGGACTAACACATACACATTGTTCAGTCGTGTGACTGAGCTGCTGCCAGTGAACCTGATTATCGACAAAATGTCCCGCTGAGCAGTTTTGACAAATAGACTGGTGCCAGAGTTTTTCCATCTCAGTCGTGGGACCCGGCAGGGGTGTTCTTCGTCCCCGCTCTTCTTCACGATATTTCTGGAACCACTGATCTTAGCTAATCGAGCTAACATGGCTATCAGAGGTGTTCACGCAGGCGGCAGGGAGCAAGTTATTTCTATATGCTGACAGCATCTTAGCAGTATTAATGATAACATTTAATTTCTACCGGCGCTGCTCACATGCATCGAGTCATTTTCAAGGTTGTCAGGTTATAAAATAAATTGGTACAAATCAGAAGGCACGCCACTATCAGCATCATGTCACTCTAGATCCATTACTCCATTCACTTTGAAGTATTTACCTTCAGGTATGAAGTCTTTAGGAATAATATTAAACCCAGACTGGAGGATATTATGCTTCCAAAGATGGGACCTCTCCTCCTAAAGATACAAACAAATCTGGATAAATGGGCTAAATTAAATCTTACATTATGGGGTAAAATTAATGTGATTAACATGATGGCGGCCCCACAGTTCAATTATGTTTCCATGATCTTACCTGTAAGAATTCCTTTACACATATTTAGTCAATTTTGAGAAGCTAATTAAAGATGTTTTGTGGAATAACAAGAAGCCAAGAGTGAATTTAAAGAACATCTGGGCCTCTAAAGACATTGGAGTAATGGCCCTCCCAAATGTGAAGTTGTTTAATTTAGCTTTTGAAATGTCAAGACTGGCCAAGCACTGGACAGGATCGGACGGAGCTGAGCTGGATGAAGATCGAACAGGAACTAGTGAGCCCTTTTACACCCTTGGATGTTCTCTCACAGGGCTCAGCTGTTAATGGACAAGACTTTCATGATAACCCCGTGCTCGGGTATTCTAAAGCTGTCTGGGTAGAGGTGCACAAGATGTGTGGAGCATCTCATTTAAGACAACCTTATACCTCGCTATGGAACAACACTGCTGTACAGATTGGGCGAAAAACTGTGTTCTGGAAGGAATGGCTTGTCAAAGGCATACACAGGATAAGTGATCTTTACTCAGGGGGAGTGTTTATGTCATTCGTTGAAATAACCCAAAAATATGGTTTGATAAGAGAAAATAATTTTTGGAAATATTTACAAATAAGGGATTGTATTACCAAAGGAAAATTTACTCAAAGCTCAAATATGGTGGTGGAGTTTTTAGAATTGTCCAGTACAGCACATAGAGCAGCTGTTTTCTATAAACTGTTTAACAACCTAAAAAAGAGATCTGTGAAAACTTGAGGATGGCAGAGAGATCTGAGTTGTGTCATTTGAAAAGAAGATTAGTGTAGAATTTTGTCATTCTCCAATAAATATAAAAGAGAGGCCAGGGGTAAAAAACAAAATGCATGTTAGCTTGAAAAGTTAACAAATTGACAACAGCTTAAGGAAAACAAATATCAACTGTAATAAAGAAGTAATACATATAATACTAACCTTGTTTTGCACACACACAGATCAGGGTAGGATCAAATAATAGGCGTCCACTATTAGGTAGGGTGTTTTGTCAGAACACTCTGTGACCGGGTCATTAGCTCCTCAATCTTATTAGGGAGCGATCTCACATTTCCAATGATCACAGAAGGGACAGATGGTCTGTAACATCTCCTTCTCAGGTGACATCACCCCCGTCTCTTCCTCCTCAGCTCACTGGGGATGTCGGGTCTGTCTGCAGTAGCGCAGCTGCAGGGCAGTGCTAACAGCTGATCCCAAACGTAAACAAAGGAGCACTGGTTCTCTAAACATGGGTGAAAAAAGTGGAGACAAAAGAAGAGAAAAGTCAACAACTAGCACGAAGCGGTAATGCATGATGGCAGAATCTGAAAAGACTAAGTTAAAGGTTAAGAGAAGTAAAGAGGAAAATAAGAAAGAAGCTCAGAAATGAGCAGAGCTGCCAACAGGTAACACAGTTAAGGTTTCAGAAAAAGCATTCTGTTTCGTTTGTTTGATCATGCTTAAACACATCAAAATGCATAGTGGAGTTTTTAATGTACTCTTAATTTGATCTGTTATTGTATATTTTACACATGTTTGTATGGGATATTGTATTTGTTTTAAATGTTATATACCTATGTGGTATGTGACTTTTGTTGCTATGATGCCAGGTCTCTCTTGGAAATGAGATTTTTAATCTCAATGAGATTTTTTACCTGGATAAATAAAGGATAATAAATAAATACAAGTCGATACTGTGACAAGCACTGGTACCAAACAGGCAGTCACTTTGCAGCAAGGTGAATCGGTGATGCATTAGTGTGGTCTGCACTTCTTCTTTGATTGGGTGAAAGGTGTTGAAAGTAACTGGATGAGGGAACCATGGGGCGTGCCCTGCATAATTTAAACAAAATGGCGTTTTAAACACCATCACAGCTGGACACAGAACATCCGTAAAAAACGCCGTTTTCGTCTGTCTTTGAACGCTGCTTTCTGCTTAGTGACATAAAAAGCGGCGTTCAAAAACAGACGAAAACGGCGTTTTTTCCATCACTCAGAAGGGGCGTTGCAGGCGCCAGTCTCTGGCGTAATATACGGTGTTCTGTCGGGGCAAACACCGTTTTTTTCAGCATTTTAAATTATTAAATGGCGTTTTTATTACGCCATTTCTTAACCCAACGGGTTAGAAAAGTGCCAATTTTTGGCTTAGATGGGTTGCCACATGCGAGGCGCTGCACGGCGCTGACGCATTAACAACCTAACTGCGTTGACGCGTTGCCCCCGTGCAGCCCGAATGACGAATTAGC